CCACTCAGGCCTTTTTCACCAGGAGCACCAAAGGGGAGGCAGAGGAGAGCGGGGAGGGATGAAGTGCTGCACGGGGAGGTCTGGTGCCCCGGGGTGGTCGCGCCTGTCGGTGCAATGGGCCAGGCCTGGGAGGCTTCACACTCGTTGTGCACTAGTGCAAAGGAGGGTCGAGCAGCAAAGCCTGGGATGCACGGGTCTGGGGAGCAGAGTGCTGAGCTTCAGGGAGACCAGATGTGCAAAGGAAGGGGCTTGGAGAGACCCCGGGTGCGGCTCCAGCCTGGCATGGGAGCGGGGCCAGCGCTGCTCCGGGCACCTTGCAGGCAGCGCAGCGAGCGAGCACGCCTGGCGGCTCCGTCTCGAGGGGAACCTGCCGCTGTCGTCCGTGGAAAGCGTGGCCAGGTCCTGCCAGGCCTGCACCACACTTCGTGCTTCCTTTTGGGGTGTGAGAAGCCAGGGCCAGCAGAGAGGAGCTGCTCTGTGCCCAAGGATGCTCCTGGGCTGTGCTCCCTCTGCACAGAGGATGGTCCTGATGTGGGCCTCTAAGTGCCCAGCACAAAGCCAGGGGCAGAGCAGCAGCAAACAGACAAAATGCCCAGACTGGCCGTGCTGGTGGGGTGGCTGGTGGCAGAAGGGGCAGACAGACAGATGGACAAGACCCCGGGGGCTGCTTGGTGCTGCAGTGTTTCACAGGTCCATTTTTTTGTGGCTCGTACAAAAGAGGTGACACACAGACAGACTTGGGCTGAGTGGCTTCCGCTGTGGGTCAGGGAGCAGACGTGGCGGACAGACTGACAGATGTGGGCTCAGGATCCCGTAGGCAATATCAGAGGGATGCGCAGCAGAAGGACGGACAGAAGTTGGGAGCACACACGGCCAGCACAGGCTTCAGGCAGCAGATCCAGCAGGACAGACAGATGGCTGATGGACTGAACATCCAGCCTGAGTTAGGCTGGATGGAAAGACAGACGGATGTGGGCTTGCTGGTGGGGAAATACAGAACGTAGTTCAGATAGGGGGTAGAGCAGACAGCTGGGGACTTGGTCCTTTTGAAGAGACGGATGAACACAGGCACAGCATTTTGGATGCCCAACATGTGGTTCAGGTCGTAGATGGACAGACGGACTTGAGCTCTTGGCTCAGACGCCCAGCACATGTTCAGGTAGGAGATGTGGCAGACAGACAGACGGACGCAGGCTGGGCGGCTCAGACGTCCAGCACATGGTTCAGGTAGGAGATGTAGCAGATGGCCAGGCGGAGGATCTCAATCTTGGAGAGCTTCTTGTCCGGCGGCAGTGTGGGCAGCAGCTTCCGCAGCTCGGCAAAGGCCATGTTGAAGGCTTCGACGCGGATGCGCTCCCGCGTGGCGTGGGCTGTCCGGTATTTGGCCGTGGCGCGCCGCCGGCGACGACGCTCCTCCCGACTCAGGTGCTGCAGGTCTTTCTTCACGGCCTCGCCCGGCTCGGCTA